AAAATGATATAAATTCGACGGCTATCCGCCGTTCATCGTGTGCCGCAGCTTCGGCGGCCTCAGCTACAACAGCTTCGACAGGAGGCGTGCCCCTGCTGCCTCAGGCGCCGTGCTAGGCGCGGGGAGCTGACCTCTGGGTACGCTGGTCTCCTCCTCGTCCTCCTCCTGCTCCTCCTCCTTGGCCATCGTTTCCCCTCCTCCTCAGGCACCTCTTGCTCTGCCCCCTTCTCTGCCTGCTCCTCTCCTCTTTCGCCATTCATCTTCCTCATACTCCACCTGCCTCTCTTCCTCGACCTCTCTCCTCACCCTGTCTCCTTGCTCCTGCGCCTTGCTCGGGCTCATCCTCACCTCCTTCTCCCCTCCTCCTCCTCCCCTCCTCCTACCATCCTCCTCGCCCTGCCTTCCTCCCCAATCCTCGCCTCCTCCTGCTCCTCCTGCTCCCTCCTCTCCTCCTCCTCCTCTCTCCTCCTCCTTCCCCTCCTCTCCTCCTCCCTCGTCTCCTCCTCTCCTTCCTCCTCCCTCCTGCATCGTCCTCCGCCTGCTCCTCCTCCTCTTCGCCATCATTCCTTCCTCATACTTCCACCTGCTCTTCCTCGACCCTCTCTCCTCACCCTGCTTCCTGTCCTCTCTGCTCGGGCTCATCCTCCTCCTCCTTCTCCTCCTTCTCTTTCCTCCTTCCTACTCCTTCCTCCTCCTCTTCCTCCCCCTCCTACCTCCCATCCTCCTGCTCCTCCTGTCCTCCTGCTCCTCCTCTCCTCCTTGTCCTCCCTTTCCTCTCCTCCTGACTTCCTCCTCCTCCCTCCTCCCTCCTCCTCCTCCTACTCCTCCCCTCCTCCCCTCCTCCTCCTCCTCCTCCTCCTCCTCCTCCTCCTCCTCCTCCTCCTCCTCCTCCTCCTCCTCCTCCTCCTCCCTGCTTCCCCTCCTGTTTCTCGTCCTGGCGCTCCAGGGACGAGGGCCGTGCAGCGAGAAACGGGGGAGTGGGTTTCACAGGCCACAGGCCCACTCCCATTTTGTCCTGCGTGGCGAACCTGGCCCAGGGCCAGGTCCGCGGGCTTCCTCCTCAGGCAAGCGGTGATGATCATGCGTTCTGTTGGCCTGGAGCCTCGCTCTCGGAGCCTCCCCTCGTCGTCACCTGGGGGCTCTGCGGCGTGTTTCTGCAAGAGGAGGAGGAGGAAGAGAAGGAGGAGGAGAAGGCGAAACACAACAACAAGAAGAGGTATAAGAGGAGGAGGAGGAGGAGGAGGAGGAGGAGGAGGAGGAAGAGGAGGAGGCGTGTCTCTGGGGCCTCTGCGAGGGGGGGGAATCCGCGGCGGGCGGGCTGACTCGCGTCCCGCGGATTGCGATGGGCAAGAGGGCGCCAGAAGGAGGAGGACCAGCACGCGTCCTGAAAGAAGGGGCTGCCGTCTTGGCCGGTGGAGCGGGGCGCGTCTGGACGACGAGGCTGGCGACAGCGGGCCGCGCGCGGGGGGGCACTCGCCCTTCCCGCGCACGCTCCCCGCACACGCCCTGCCTACTCTCCTCCGGCTCCTGCTCCTGCAATCCAGGAGCTGGGCCAGGGGGATGTAGGGACGGAGGGCCACAGTAGGCTTCCTGGGGTGCCCCCCCTGACATACTTGTAAGACGCCAGGAGGAGGAGGAGGAGGAGAAGGAGGAGGAGCAGGAGCAGGAGGAGGAGGAGGAGCAGGAGGAGCAGGAAGGGAAATATGAAGAGGAGGAGGAGGAGGAGGAGGAGGAGGAGGAGGAGGAGGAGGAGGAGGAGGGAGGAGGAGGAGGAGCCGGCGGAGCAGGATGAAGAGAGAGGGTTGAGGGAGAGCAGGGGGATGATGAGGAAGAGAGCGTCGAGGACGATGGTCAGGAGGAGGATCGGGGACAGGCGGGGGGGACGATGCCAGGAGGGGAGGGGAGGGGAGGGGGGAAAGGATGACGGGTGAGGGGGATTCGCGCATGATGGGAGTGAACCAGCAAACACACAATTTGCAGGCTCTTACTCCACGAATTCAATCGTTCTCGTCATAATTTCGTCTCTCTCTCTCTCTCTCTATCGGAAGAAGCTCCAGATAAGGGAGGCCGTCCATTCCTCGGGGCAGCCGAAAGAAGTTCTCTCCTTTGAGATGGGCCGAGCTTCGTGCCTGGCCGCCGAGCCCGTCTTGGAGAGCCGCCGGGCTCGTGGCAGCTCTGCATGCCCCGGGTAGCCACGCCACCGCCGAGAGATCTGCGACTGGGGGCCCTGAGCACAACGTTCGTCACGGCCTGCTGCAGCCCCATGGGCCTATTCGTGTTGTCCGACAGGATCCACTCAGCGCGTGCGGCCACAGGTTCCGCCGACCTGATCTCTTCCACCTGCGGCCCCCGGGAGGTCTCGACCGCTTCCCTAGGGGAGGTTTGAGGCGGAGGAGGAGGAGGAGGAGGAGGAGGAGGAGGACGACTTCGTCCCGGCCCCGCTTCTGGCGGCCCCGACATAGAACGGCCCCCGAGGGCGGAGAGCTCGAGGAAAGGCCTCCTGTGGAACCGATCATGCTGCGGAGCTGTGGCTGGCTTCGTGCAAGCTCGGCACTCCTAATCCGGCAGAGAATGTTTTACGCCTGGTGATCTCGAAGAAGGAAACGCCATAAACATAACCTTTTGGCGCTCCGCGCGGAGCGCCAACAGTTTAGGTTTATGTTTTTTGTTGTTTTCTTCTTCTTCTTCTGCGTCTTCTTCCAGAGAGGTCTTCGCTGGTGAGCGACAGCGAGCAGCGAGCAGAAGAAGAGAGGAAAGCTCAGGGGCAGCGCCGTGGGGGTATGCTAAAGGGCGGGGCGCATCAGCCCCCCATCGCCCACTGATCGCCGATGGGGGCTCGATGGCCCGATCCGCGCATGACGTGCTGTTTATGCTTATGCAGTTGTTCTTCTTCTATCCCATTGGTCGTGCCACGCGAGTTCGGGAGACCGCCCGCGAGAGGCCGCGTGCAGTGTCATGCACGGAGTCGGCAGTTTCATGCCTCCGCGGCACTGCATGCTCATCTCGGTTCGCCTTGTCCTCGAGATTATTACGGGTCGTCGCTCCGTCGCTTCTGGCCCACCGCACTGCGGCGTGACAGACGATCCATGTCCCCACTCCCAGGCGTCAACGTCGCGAGCCATTCCAACTCCTCGCCCCGCGGAGCGGAGCGACACGCTATCTGCTCGCAAGGCATAGCGTTCTGCTGGGGCCGCCGCCGTGACACGCTAAGCAAAAGTTCGCGACCGTAGCCTTGCCATTGAGCTTCTTAGCCCAGGGTTCGGCTGTCACTTCCAGCCCCCTTCTGAAAGGAAGCTCCCATGCGGCCACAAGTTCCACGTCGACTGCTGCGACCAGTGGCTCGGCCGGAGCAAGCGGTGCCCGCTCTGCATGCAGAGCATCGACGAGCCGTTGGCCAAGGACTTCGGGGGAAGAAACATAATTCCAGGGTTCCCATTGGGGTCCGAGTAGACCGGGTCGGAGGATCGCGCCGCATCGCTGATGCATCGGCGATGCAGCACGATGTGTAGCCCGATTTCTCCATTCCGAGGATGCTAAAGCATCGCCGACGTCACCGATGCATCGCCAATGCATCGGCGATGAGTTGGCGATGATTTGCCGATGCGGCGTGATCCTCCGACCCCATCTGCTCGGACCGCGTTTGGGAGGCCTCCAAGGATGTGCACGACCTCGGTACGATCGAAATGGGTATTGAAATAATGTGTGCGACAACCGACAGCAGTTCCCTGATCTTTTCTGGCCCATTTCAAATACGGCTCGCTGTCGGTGCCGCCGCCGGCGTTGTTTTTGTGAGACAGACGATCGCCTGCCCAACAGCGGCCACAGTCGGTTTTTTGACCACATTGCGGTTGGGCATCGTGCCCAGTGTTTTCCGTACTTACTGCAGGCGTCAAGTTGACGAAATTGTGGGGGGATTTTGTCGACGTCGATCTTGGTCATGGTCCATGCCGGCCCTCGCCGATTCGCGAGGATGATCCACGAATGACGATGACCATGATGGGCGATGGCCAAGATCGGCGCTGACGTTTCCGCGCTCAGTTTCGGTCGTGGTCTTCGTTTTCGATCCCTCCAAAGGAGGAGCCCGCGGCGTGGGGCCTGTTCCGGCGGTGCAAGCCCCGCTTCCACTGAGATGCTCTGGGCGCACACGGGTGCAGGCGCATGGATGGATGGCGGGCAGGAACAGGCTCAGGGGGGAGGAGGAGGAGGAGGAGGAGGAGGAGGAGGAGGAGGAGGAGGAGGAGGAGGAGGAGGAGGAGGAGGAGGAGGTGGAGGTGGAGGTGGAGGTGGAGGCGGAGGGGGGACAGGTTTTCGGACGGGAGGGCAGCGAGGACCGTGAGGGGAGTGGCCCCGCAGGGCCCCCAAAAGTCCCCTCGGCTGCCACCGCAGGCCCAAACGGTGAACGAAAGGCTGCCAGGCGGAGCATCGGCCAACGCTGTCGTCGGTGCCTGCCGGGCTTCCGCCCTCGGGATGCTCTCCGGCAGCTGCGCCTCTCGCCGAGAGCCCGCCGGGGGGGTGCCCGGATCGCCGCGAGCGGCCGCCGGAGAGCCGAGCGGGTGGCCCAGGAGGCCGGGGGGCACGGGGCCTGCGCGGAGGGAGGGGCGGCAGCGGAGCAGGGAGGCTCGGACGGGGGAGGCACCGGGATAAACATCCGCTCCAGAGCGGCGGTCCGCAACGCTGCAAGAGCGTTCTGGAACGCACTGGGAAGGCCGCGGCGCCCGAGGCGTCCTCCAGGCCCGGCGCGGATCTCAGAGATTCTCGATTCACCCTCGCCCGAGGTTGTATCTTCCTCTTGCCTTCGTGTGAGGGACGGGAGGTTTCGTGGAGGGCGAGATCGAGGGCTGTGGAAGGGGTGGGTCACGAGATCAGCTGCGTGCAGTCGGTGTGGGCTGCGCCGCCGGACACTCTACTCGATACATGGCCGCCTCAGGCGCTGGGAGGCGTTGGGGAAACCAGCTGCGTGCAGCTGATCGATGGTTCCAAGATGGGGTCAGGGATGGGCCCCTGAGGATAGGAAGGGATCCAGGGGATGATTTACATTGTTGAAGGCACCTCGTCCTCAGGACCCCATCCCTCAGGACCCCACCTTTGAACCACCGGGCTGATTCGCCAGCCTGCCACCTACCCTGTCCCCCCTCTCCTGGTCCACGCTTTGGTCCCCAATGTCGTCCACACTAGAGGATTTTTACATGCCGTTCCCAGTATCCTGGAATTCTTGTGGCGAGTGCCACGCCCCCGCCTCCTTCGCTCAAACATGTTCTCACTCACAAGCCGCCTCCCTCGCCCTCAGTATCGAAATCACATGCGCTCTGTGACCCATGCTCCAGCCCAGTCACAGTCGGACTCACTTACATGGGTTCGCTCTCACACATTCTCGCTCATATTCAGGTTTACTTAACTTCAGACTGGCTCGTGCTCACAGTCGCTGGTACAGCCAGACGCCTCCATCTCGTCCCGCCAAGTCCTCCGAGGCAATTCATAGTCTTGGCCGATCTGGGACCTCTTGAAGGCCAACATGGAGCCCCCGTGGGGCGTGTCGGAGGCTACTGCGCCGTCTTCAGCTCCTGTTGGCCACGCGCAAAGGGGGGCAGGGGGAGGGGGGAAGGCTTCTTAGAAGCGCCCTGCTTCTTAGAAGGCGCGGGCCTTTAGATGTAAGGCCGGGCCCTTCGAAGAAGCAGCCTGCTTCTAAGAAGCCTCTCCCCCTCCCCCTGCCCCTCTGCGCGCGGGAAGCTCGGGAAGCTCGCCAGCGTCTTCAGCCTCGGGAAGCTCCTGGGTCGTCTCGCGGGACCTCTTGGACGGTCCGGAGGTCCTGGCGGCCTCCTGGGCTCCCCTCCGTCTGGGGGCTCGGCCGCCCAGGTCGCCTGGGCAGCGTGGCTACGGCGGCCCAGGAAGCTTGGCACTGGTTGCCAGTCTTACGTCGGGCCTGTCCCCCCACAGGAGGAATTATCAAAGATAGTCAGACAATCGTATGCGGACGATTTTATACTATGTTTGCATTGTTGTTCTTATTTCTAGAATATTGTTTGTTTTTCTTCGAAAATCCGCATGTCGGAGGACACGCCCGACCTTCGCATCTTCCCATTTTCTAAATCAGTCCTCCTCTTCCTCTCCATCGTCTTTTCTCTTCCTGTTCTTCCTTCTCTTCCATCTCGTCATCTGGATCCTACTCTCTCACCTGGGGTACGGCTCCAGATCGGTCGCAGGCGGATTAGGATTGGTATGCCGATGTGGTCGGATTCGGCGCTTGACGATTGTGTTTGTTCCTACGCTTACCTAAACAACTAGAAGGTGCGTTGCAGGGTCTGTAATCTGTGTGGTGACGTGACCTCTCGTGGCCTCCAGTGACCTCCCAGTATTTGTTGCCTCCCGTGCCCTCCCATTGCAGTCAGTGACCTTCCCTTACCTCCCAGTATTGGTACACGTCTCAGTATCAGTATCCTTGCTCATGTTAGCGCATTCGCGTGAGCATTCGCTTTCATATTCGTAATGCTTTTGGTTTCGGTGCCCGCACTCGTGCTAGTAGCAGGATTCGCACCATATTCCGATTTTTTGCATCCGCATCAACCTTCACACATTTCCTGGCTCCACGGGGAGCTCCACCGAAGGCCCAGATGCCAGCGCTCGCATGCGA